AGTAAAGCCGCCGTTCACAACAGAGTCTTGATGCCAGTTATTCTTACATAGAGAAGCTGATCCCGTTGGTTTCCAACGTAAGACGGAGTGAGTCTACCTTTGGTTCCAAAAAGATGCGAAGTATGGCGGAGCCGAAGTCGAATAAGCAGACTTGACGTCGGTTATTTTACCAAGAAAAAACCTTTATAATAGCAGTTTATTTGAAAGGGGCTCGCGCAGGCGGAGGACGTGTCGTCGGATGGAGGTGAAACGCGGAAGGACTGAGAAAATGCACAGTACTGTTGAGCGACACTGGAATCCAGTAGGAAAGATTTTGGGGAGGGGGAACTTCCGCTTGAGATCGTTAGTAACGAAGGACTCGATTGATACGCGACCTAGACCCACCAGTGCTGTGGAGAGTAAACTACAAGCCAGTCCATTCTCGTTTTTAGATGTCACGTACGGAAGGTTCTGTGGTCAGAGTATTCCCTCTCCGACTGGACAGTCGGGAAGCCATTATTGTCCGGACTCTAGGGGCATTTTAGATAGAAAGAATCGGAAGCTATTTGGAGAGTAACATCAAAATGATCTTCAGATTGTTTGGAGTCGACCGCAGCGAATGCTCGCCGACAAGAACTAGTTCTGGGCCACAAAGCGGACAGTCGCTTGGCATTGGCCAGAAGGTCCCTATGACGTCCCACTTGAAATAGCTTTAAACAAAGAAATTTTGAGGAAATAAACGTCGAAAATCCAACAAACGCCCAATGTCTAATCGACAATTTGATTGAAATTAGATCAACTGCAACACATTCAAAAACTGTTATTACCGACCAAGACAAGGAAGACTGGAATGGTCATTTCTGGCTTATAGGCCGTCCTCAGTCAGTCATACCCAACCCCGAGGTGTGGAACATATGGGGCCAACATAAATAAGGTGTTTTTCTGACGCGTTTTAACCCCTTGTGTTCACACGCTGTCAATAGGGTGCTTATTTTCCGAACCGGATTTTTTCCTCTTCAACCTTCTTGCCGAGTCATAACAAAATTCGTACAATAATTTGAGAGCATTTCGCCGGTGACTGATGTAGCGTAAATATATGGTCATCAAATAT